AACTCAAGGCTTAAGAGAACATCGATTCTTTCTACCACCAGGATCGAGTAAAACGTTCAATAGTGACTGGGGCGAACAGGCTTATACCTTTCTTTCACAGTGGAAGAAAGACAAGAAATTTTCTGATGTTGAAATAGCGAAGCAGGCAGCGAACGGAATAATTATTGAAGGACAGCAACTCAATAAACATTGTGAGTCACACTACATAGCTCGCCAACTGCTAGCCGTCAGAAAAAAACACAGAAAAGAAATTTACAGGTGCTGCATAAAACTATACACAATGGAATGCTTTTTATACAAACTAATAAACAATGCACTGAGGGAAAACGATACCAGGAAACTAAGCACGCTCGGTCCATTTTGCTACATTTTATTCAGAAGCTGGCTGACCACCAAAGAAAAACATACAGCGACACTCTACCGTGGTATGACTATCGATGACAATCAGCTCACATCGTATCAAGAAGCCATCGGCAAAAGCAGATGTTGGGACGGCTTTACCTCAACAACAAAAAACCACGAAAAAGCGCAAACATTCGGTAACATCTTATTCATCATCGATGCAAACAGCAACGGAGGCATCGATATTTCAGCACTATCAGATTACGACGAAGAAGAAGTTCTACTACCACCAGGAACCACATTTACAATCGATAAAGTCCACAAAACCGAAACCAATACATTAATTTATTTGAGGCTTCCGCCCTCTCCAACAGCTGCATCAACATTGATTCACTTGTACCCAACTCCATCAACCTCAGATGAGCACTGCTGTGACGAAAGTGCCATGTCATCTGGCGCCATCAAACATCTAACAGATGGATGAAAAGTCCATTGCTAATCTTACTAGTGCTGCTTATGCTGCTGCTCGTTATGGTCGTTATCGTTGGCGTCATTCGCGAGCTCGATCATCATTGCTCACTTGTTGGTGACCTCATCATGGTCACATGAGCACTGCTGCGGTGAAAATGAAATGTCATCGGGTGCCATCGAACCTCTGGGAGATGGATCAATAATCTGGTGTTCGTCGTTGTGATGATCGTGATGGTGATGGTCTTGGTCGTCGTGGTGGATTATAGGTTTCGTATGGTGTGTTTAGTGAGCGGTGTGGGTTGAATTTGTTGGATCCTGACCGATTATTGCGTTTTAATAACGCAAGGTTTCAAAATAATGTTGATTTCAAATTTTGTCTTAGTTAGATTGCAACGTTCTGTTTCTACTCTTGACCTTCTGATCTATGTTGCAAGACGCACGCATTTGGTTCTATTTACTCGTGTGTTTTTGAGTCAAAAAATGTTGCAAGAACGGTGTGCATATTATGGAAAATAAATATTGCATTATATTGGTATTCTCGTTTTAAACGCGTAGAAACCAAATAGTTTTTGTTATATAAACTAATCTATGATCAATTTTTCCGCATTTAACAATGTTGTTGTCGTTTTCTTGCCGCTTCTTGGTTCATGAACTTGCATTGACAAGGCTATTTGGAAGAAAAATCTGAACGTTCTCAGTTTATTATTTTAGACAAATTTGCTAATATGCATCTCTTAGTTCGACCTTTTTCGTGCTTGCAACTGTTGAAAAACCCAAACTCAATTGATTTGAAAATAAGCTACACACAGACAACAATACAAATACACCAGCACTTCTTGTTTTTCTTTAAATAAAAATCAGTCCCAGAACTTGAACGGTCCTCGTACGATACTGTCTGCATTAATTAGTCAGAATATGATTGATAAGTAGGTCTCCTACGGGCGGATACAATTGATCTATGGTGACTTTTCTAATGTTCATCATTTCTCATTTCCTTCCGTTATTCATTTTACACTGCAACCGGCACTTCTCATCTTAAGTTTGAGAAATCGTCTAAAAGTACGAGTCTGTCCTTGAACACTGGAAGAGCTTAAGAGAAAACACGATACTTCCGAAAAATTAAATTTTTTACAAGATACTTGATGCTTTTTGTAGCGACATATACGCGGAATTTGGCCATCTGCGATAAAGCGAAATTGTTTTTGGTTTGTCCTACACTTGCTAAACTTTAAGAGCATATTTTTCTATAAGATTCTTAAATATCCCCTTACATTATGTTTGCCTGTGATGAGTTTTTCATGTTATATGTCATATCTTCAGTTTAAAATATGAAATTACTTTAGTCAGCTTAGCAGCTTTTTCTGAAAACAGTCTCATTCGAAACAGTGTCTCGAGGCGCACTAGTATCATTATCCAAAAGTTTGGGATGTCCAAGTTTGATAAGGTGCCGAGGTTTCAAATCAAGTTTGTCGGGTCAAAAACTCGACATTTTCGACCTTTTAAACTATGCAATTTCTGAAAAATGAACCATAACTCGATCACCTAATCTCGATCAGTAATTTCATATTTTAAACTGAAGATATGACATATAACATGAAAAACTCATCACAGGCAAACATAATGTAAGGGGATATTTAAGAATCTTATAGAAAAATATGCTCTTAAAATTTTGTGCACAAAAACAATTTATTTCACTGCACTCGCAAAAATATGAAAGTTGAGAATGTTTCCATTGTCAAAACGAGTGACTTGATCTGAGCCCGTTCGATAACAGGATTTTTAATGAATTTGTTCCGAGTATGAACTAAGAGCATGTGAAGACTAAAGATATATTAACTGGAGATCTGAAACACATTCCAAAGAAAAACACTTTAAGTGGTTGCGATGATTTTACCGAGCGCTCGTAGAAGATTTTGAAAAATAAACGAAATTTTTTCGGCTTTTAAGACCCTTCCCGTATTTTCAATTTTTCAACAAGCAAACGTGCACTGGGAAGGCTAAAATGGCGATATTGGTGATCAGCTTCACATTCTGTATCGAATCATATATAAAGAAGCTAAAAATAAAGTAGTACTTTATTTTTAAATTACGTACGCCTTACCGTTTTCGTGATGCCGCACCAGTTCTGAGTCCTTCATACACAGTCGGCAATCATGTAGATATTAGGTGGAAAAACGAAAATGAAACCATTTTAGATTTGAATAGTGTCAAATATACTACGATTAATGCACTATTAGATGGCATAAAAATCATTAACCTGGTTTTTATATTCAATCGGAAGAAGACACTATGAAAGTGAGGTTGAAAATCGTGTGCGTACCGAAGAATGAGATTTTTTCTGGCACGTGCAAAGTGTTCTCAAACAAACTATACATGTTCCGAAATAGACTATCGTTTCAGTCAAATCGGAATTTGCTATCTGCGCTAAGTGTTTTCTGCAAAAATGTGTTTAGTATAATAATATATGCGCGAACTTTACCAAAACTGCAAAATTGTTGAAACTTTCACAGAACATCCTTCTGCGTGTGATACATCTCCAAAAATTAGTTATTTATAAACGCGAAATAGTTCATCTTGTACAGAATTGTTGCTATCTATTCGATAAAATCTAAAGAGAAGTGAAAAAGTGATCCTACGAGCACTTATTGAACGAAGAAAAAGATCAGAGTTAAGAAAACTTCTATCTTTTGATAGAAAGGTTTGAGATAAAAATCTGCTATTAACAAGAAATAAAGCTGGAGACGTGGGGCTATCGAATGGTTAAAAAAAGTTTTACTGTTTCCGATGAGTTTTGGTGGGGATATAAGCATCACTGGAAATGCCCTAAAAATAGGACCTGTGTACAAAATTGTTTTTTAAAAAACAAAAAAACGTATTTTGTAAAAAATGTATTTTGTATTCGACAGTCGACGCCAAAAAAGAAGTGAAGATGTAATTATAAGGAACCCGCTGTCGGATTCACTGACAAATTTTGCATCTGGCGTCCAATTTTTATCCAATTCGGTTCAGCACGGAGCAAGCACCAAATTATCTAATGAATGTTACGTAAACCTTTAGGAGTCACCATCGTTGTGTGTTCAGTAATATTAACATTGGCATCCAACCAAACCAGTTGATGTGACTCGAGATTTATTTTGTCACGATCAATGACAGCAGTAGTTTGTGGTGATGCTACTGTTTCTGTACTAATGCTCGCTGTTGCTACACCTATACCTACTGTGATGTCGGTCGTGATACCAACTAAAGTTGTTGTATCAGCTGAAGTAAGAACTGGCAATGGTATGATAGCCATCGATAACAGTGATGAAACAGATGACATATTGCTTTTGTTGGGTAAAAATGCACTTAGATTTTCGTCCATTTTCTTAATTGTTTGAAACCAATATTAAAGCATTACTTACTGTAATGGTGAGCGTGCTAACTATTACAGCTTTTGTCTAATTGTAATAACTGTATTTATATTACCTGTTACTGTCTGTTCTTAATTTACACGGATAATTAGTTTTTCATTTTCAGTATGACATGTATATATAAGGTTTTTTCTCTAGCAACAAGTAAGAAAATAATGATTGGTAATACAAAATATCACATTCTGTTCTACTTTACACACACACCATTCTGTTCGCATAAAAGTACTTGAATAGTCTAAATGCATACTGTTAGTATTTTGAGCCATCGATCACACATATACCGGCGGAGGTATATGACTCGAAAATAAATTTCGACAGCTTCGGCGACAGCGCAGTGTGTCGACTAATACTTCTTCTGCTGTAAGAAGCCCAAAAGGATTTGGGTTCTAATTGCTTCCTGCGAAAGTTACTGAATTTTTTCTTCAGAGCCTGAAAAGACTCAATATTTTAGTTTCATAAAGTTTTCTTTCCTTTATTCAAAATCTTTTCTTATGCATAGTCTGATACTTCAAAATGACATGTCTCCCAGAATTTTCCGATGAGTTTTGGTGGAGATATAAGCATCATTGGAAATGCCCTAAAAATAGGACCTGTGTACAAAATTGTTTTTTAAAAAAACAAAAAAACGTATATTGTACACATGTCACTTTTTTTTAGGGCATTTCCAATGATGCTTATATCTCCACCAAAACTCATCGGAAAATTCTGGGAGACATGTCATTTTGAAGTATCAGACTATGCATAAGAAGAGATTTTGAATAAAGGAAAGAAAACTTTATGAAACTAAAATATTGAGTCTTTTCAGGCTCTGAAGAAAAAACTTTAATTACTAGGGCACTGTACAATATTTATTGGCCAAAGATCATCGAAATCGACGTTAGACACCTGAAGAGGTTCCCTCATAAGACGAAAACGTCATATCTTCTGGTTTTTAGGATGAGTTTTGACAAAATCGGTTTTTATGCAAGAAACACAAGTTGTATCTGAGCCAAATTTTAACTTCGAGAACTGCGGTTTACATTTAAAATCAATACAATGTTTCCTACGGTCAGCTTTTCACTTCGAAGTAGTCGATTTAACAACGTCAGTCGCAATAACTCCAAGTATACGATTAGAAATAAATTTTCAAAATTCAACGAGCTTGATAACTACGAAAGAGTTTTGAAAATTTGAATCGAATAATTGATCTGTATTCGGATCGTCCATACAGGAAAATGATTGTTAGTATCCGAAATATGATCCCTATTGCAACCAGGCCTCCAATTGATGATTCGTCATCGCCAAACGAATAGTAGGCACGATACTGTTCGATTTTTGTACTCCACAAATTCAGCTCCGTAGGAGTATCACTGTTCAGATATGAGTTTGTATCGTATATAAACAATTGACGTTGAGTATGTCGAGAAAATGAAATATAAACCACACCATTTAATTTTCCTGCTTTTGTTGGACTAAAACCAGATATTAAGCATGATATTAAAGCGATTAGAGCTGCAGCTAAATACGATTGTTCTGTTCGGGGACACAAAACTGAGAGAAATTGACCAATGCCCATGCAGGCAAATCCCGTCACTAATATGACACTGTAGTATTCATTAAAAGTAGCACGAGGCTGAATTTCAATGTATAACATGGATGTAAATAATAAAGGATAAAGTACTAAGTGAATTGAACTTAATAATGATTTTGTCAGCCAGTATTGAAACGGATGATAGTAATTACGTGATTCACGTATAAACGTTTTATCAACCATTTCTACTCCGAATAGACGGAGACTTGCAACACAAACAGCTATACCGAAACTAAGACTAATTATAAAATAAATGGTAGTAAGAGATGAGATATCACAGGATTGACTTTGTTTTGAAAACAGTTGGCCGATGATCAAGCCGAGAATAAAAAATGACAGAGCATATATTGCTTCAACGGCATAATTTCGTTTACACATTTGAACGAAAGAGCGATGCATTAGATAAAACATCGGTTTCAATGGTGAACATTTTCTTTCGAATAATGGAGGATGTTTCGCCGGCTTTACACTCTTAATTTTATTTGGCCCATTTTTCTCAGGATAAAAGCGTAATGCATACATACATTTATCACACTCGTTTTGCGACTTGAATATTTTGTCTTTATCTTTGGGCTCCAGATTAATTTCTCCTTTATCGATCGGATCCCTGAGATGGGCAAAAGCTTGATGGCGTTCACCTTGATAAGCCAAATAACAACCAGGCGTTAACAGTATGAGATGATCAATTCTTTCGAATAATTCAGCACTTGGCTGATGAATTATCATTATAATGTTTACGTGACACAATTGATTCAATTTTATAGTATCTAACAGATCGAATAATCGATCACAAATAACACTATCAAGACCCGATGTCGGTTCATCAAGGAGTAAAACTTTTGAACATGCAATCATCTCGACAGCAATATTTACACGTTTTCGTTCACCTAAAAAAACGCAGTTTGACAAATGTACTCATTAAAAAAGTAATATCTTAGAAAATTAACTAGAATCAAACAAGTTGTAACAGCTGATTGAACAGATAGGGCTGACATTTTTCTCAGAAGTAGATAAGAGTGTAAGTAGTAAAAATTTAAGCGTTTAATTCCTCTTCGTTCATATATTATAGGTGCCGCACTACTGACACGGACAACCTCAGTTTTCCAACGAAGAATTTTTCTCTTCAGGATAAAGTCAGTTTAAAGACGATCTTATACTTTAAACTCCTAGACGTCTCTTGCACCTGCTTTCACCATTTTGATCCATTTCTTTACAGCGAAATGCTTACTTTAGGTCACCGATCTTGAGGCACCTTTCTTGGGGCGCGAAAGTCTTTTTTTTCTAAATAGTATCTAAAAAATAGAAGACACTTGTGGATATCTTATTGGTTATACTCCGTCAAGATGGTGGGTTTCAGTGACAACAAATATATGATGTAACTCATAATACTTGGTGATCTTTTAATTTCACCGAAGAAAATTGATGATATTATTTTTTTATACTAGGACATAGGTGCTATTCTCCTGAATCCTCTCTTAATATTCCTACGTCTCACAAACGAAATTCTTTCGGATTAATCGTGCTATTCTTACCGCCTGACAATTTTTCAATCAATTCATGTGTCTTCTTTGTCATATCTAGTTTATCCAGAATGAAATTGATGTCCTCGGCAAGTTTTTTAGCAGAAACGTCGTTTGATCTTCTCGCCTTTCCTGAATAATAGATTGTTTCATAAACAGTTAAGTCAGAATGCATAACATCTTCTTGCGGTACATAGCCAACTACATTTGATAATGATGTTTTCAGTGGATGTTCATCGACGTTTTCGGTAGATGAACACAATACTATTTTTCCTCCATTCTTTTTAATGGCTGTACGACCTTGAACAGCGTACAATAGACTTGTTTTACCACAGCCGGACTGTCCCATAATGGCGTTTATTCTACCTGGCGATATAGTAAATGTAAAACCTTGCTGATCTTTCCATTTAGGTATGTTCAGACAAACATCATGCAATTTAATGCTCATTCCAGCTCTTTCCGATTTATCTCTTAGGAAATAGCCGCTTGGCTGAATATTTTCAATATTGATAGTGGCAATATTATTTGCTCTATACTTGTCTGCTCGTTTTTTCGGACACCTGCAGCAGTGAGAGTGTCTAATTCTAATGGCTCCTTTTTTCACACATTCGCACGACAAACCAAGCGTGAAACAAATTTGAATTACGATTAGAATACCTAGTAGTACCATTACGACGCACATAGCTATCGTCCATATAGTGTCATTGTCTAATGTCCCATTAGGACAGATGAAACCAAACGGACAGTTGATAGGCTCAGTAACACCTGATGGACAATAACGAGATGGTTGATTTTCGCATGAAATTCGTGTGCTCGCATTTGGACAATAGTAACCAGCGGGACAAAAACCTTCAGATGCGGAACCGCCACAGCCGAGTAGTTCAAAGTTCTCAGGTCCACCACTTGGAAGACACTGAGCATCTGTGTTACATAATCCAGCAGAAGGTTGCAATGGTGATGGACAGTATGCCGATTGACGGCATGGTATCATACATATTTGACCCTCGGGACAAAAAAAGCCGGGACAGCATGCCCATGGAGTGGAGTTCCCATTAGGTATTAGAGCGAAAAAGAAGCCTGGCTGACAGGCTACTTTTGAACAATTGTAAAAATCATAATATGACACCGTTGCACTAGCTGGGTCGGTATAAAATGCAGTTATTACAGATATGTCACAAACATGCGACGCGAGAAATGATAGATCAGCGCATTTATCACCGGCTGAACATTTTGAATCAATTGTCCATTCGATCTGGTTGATTTCAGGTGAACATTTTAAACATTCATAAATATTGCTCGTGCTATTACCATTGTAACATTGACCTCCAATGTAACAATAATCGTGCAAAATTGTGTGAACACCATTTGTATTATTTGTACAAATGTCTGTTGTTATTGCACTGATTTCACTAATAAAACTTTGGTAAATGCCTAATTTTGAGCGATGGGATGATAATGACGTCGTTATTATGAAATTACAGATGAAAACAAACAGAATCGATTGTAGAAAATACATTATCTTGTCCGATAGCCTAGAGCAAACAAAGTGAATTTTTTACGTTATCACAAAACACATTAAACATTTTCCTTAAATACACCAAATCTGAAACTATACGCGTATGGAACGACTACAAACCATCTGTACAGTTTGAGAATAAAAAATGCTCTCACTCGCTACTCTATGTCTGAATGAAGCGAGTGAATGATGTGTTGACCGCACCTCTGCCTGCGGTACTTTGTCTGCTAAAATCAGCCTTTCAATTGTTAGAAATCGCGAGATATAAAAAAATAATGTCATTTTTACACCAAAATTCATACGACCGAGTCACTAACAACGATTAAAACCTCTCCAATTTTTTTGAGAAATCATCTTGAGAAATTTCTTGATATTAATTTCAAGTTAATTTGACAACTTTCATTTTTCTCATTTTTTCAGATATCGTCGGAGGGCTGAAATTGTTGTATACGGTCAAAAAATAAAAGTTGTCGAATTAACTTAAAAGATACTTCATTCCACTCAGTTTTTTGTGCTGATACCGAATCTGTGTTTAGTTTATGACTAAAGGTCTTATTTGAATTCGAAAACCTTGAATACAGCCTAAAATGACTATGATACTAGTGAAAACGATTTTTCTAAACACAGGAAAGAAAAGCAAAAAAAGTGATCTGTAACTTTGTGAGGGGTAATATGATGAGTCGAATGAGATAAAATATTTGGCTCCGTCACTTACGTAGAAAAACCAGATAGGTTTACAAAATCGACCTATATGTTGTGGACTCGATGTGATTCGAAGCGCCACCACCAATAGAGTTTTGAGTCCAGAGTCATTTTAGCAACGTCTCGGTACTCAGTTTTTCATGCCGAATCTGAAAAATTAGTTTCAGAAGCTGGAAAAAAACAAAGTAGAAAATTTTGCACATTTCGAAAAAGATGTGTTTTTCTCGAGAAACGATACCTCTCGAGTATTTCGTATTTTTCGACCGGAAGGAAGCATTTGCTATGGCTAAAAAGTAGATTTTCGTGATTAGCAGCTCACGCTCTATCAAATGGTGTAAAAAAGGCGAAAAAAAATTTTACTCGAAGTTTGAACTGCCTGCACTTTACAAAAAATATCGAAAAACTACTCAGGCGCGCTCCTTTTTCACTACAATCAACTTTTTTCATGTAAATATGAAAGAAAACTAGACTTATCCTACATAAATCGATAGATCTTTCGAAGGTACATCCAGTTAAACACAATTCTACAATTAAATGTCAAAATGATATTTAGTTGGAGGGATTTTATCTTCAAAAAACCTCATTACTATTCCTTGTTATCAGCGAAAGTAAAATCAGATATAGCAATAACAGGCGTTTCGCGCATTAGTCTAATTTTTACATTAAATTTTACTAATCAGACGCTCCATTTGTGTCTCATATTGTTCTCACATCAAGTTGCAAAAGTTATATTAACCACGAAATGTTTTTAGTTTTAGAGAGAATTTAAATTTCAAAATCATTTTAAAATTATCAAATGCTCCCTACCTGTGACCGTGGTGCTATAAAAACCATCATTCCCAAGAGAGAATATTGAGAATATCTGGCTATAAAAATATGCTATTGGGCAATATTGAGGCAATTATTGAGTTAGCTAGCAATGTCGGGCATGATTGCTAGCGACTATTATGCGTTTTTAGAAACGGTGTGTGTGGACGCGATACTTAAAACTTTTTAACCATGACAGCTAACGACCTGCGGTCTTCAGATTCTAAAACCAAACACTGAGGGACTTAAATCTATGAGAAAATCAGGATCCCCAATCAGCTTTACCATGGTGTACCATTCGAGACAAAGTCCGAAAGCTGACCGTTCCCAAACCACACTATGAAATTCAATGTCAAATAATACCAGTCAATAGCCAAGAAATGAGTGAAATACACGATGTTTAATTATCGACGGTAACAGGCGAAAAACCGGGTTTTCTCCAAATTGGCCTTTCTGAGGTTGTGATTAAGTAGGGAATGAGACAAACATCGCCACGATGATCAGCGTAGTTGATCACCTATGATCCACATGTTTCTGAGATTCCCAGACATGTCTGAAACGAGATAGGTGTGTCCTCGACAAACGTCTGTATCGCCAGAACCAAAGGAAATAGAGACCTGAGTCTAGCGTAGTTTTGAAGAGAAATGTTTTGACTATTGACTGGTATTATTTGACATTGAATTTCATAGTGTGGTCTGGGAACGGTCAGCTTTCGGATTTTGTCTCGAATACTACACCATGGTAAAGCTGATTGGGAGCCCTGATTTTCTCATAGATTTACGTCTCCAAGTCCCAAGCAAACATCACCTATGGGAGAAATCTAGATACATTTCTGTAATCGAGCGATACACGTCTAATTACCATCTAGCTTACTAGTTGGAAAAGGAACTTTTAACTAGATGCGTCTGCATGTGCAACTAGCAATAGTTAAATCTATCGACTATCGGACGATAAATCGTTAGTTGCAACTAGAAGAAATCTAGCAATCGCCCGATCACTAGATTTCCACTGCCGTTACCCAATAGTTGGAATCGAGTAAAAATCTAGTAATCTAGTTGAATCGGGCGATACTCGATTATTTTTTGACGCTTGGGGTGTCTAGTTTTAGAATCTGAAAACCGCAGGTAGCTAGTTATCATGGTTAAAAAGTTATAAGTATCGCGTCCACCCACACACACCGTTTTTAAAACTGCTAAATAGATATCGTACTCAATATATCGAGTTGACGAAAAACACTGATGAGAGTAGCTATTTATTCGATATATTGATCGATTATCGCCCAATGTATTGTGGACAGTTTCTGATGCGACTGTGCCACTAGCTACGAAATTAGATATATTGACTCATGTATTGACAGCATGAAGGATGCTGTCTTCAATGCATCTCGGGATGTCTGTATACAGGCATCCTGCTTTCTGTAATATATTTACAGAAAGCAATATTCCCCAATACATTGGTCTATTATTACTTAATATATTGACTTGATATGAATAAATACTTTGCAAACTTGTGAAGTATATGTTTTACATATATAGTACAGTGGTTGCAAAACACAAAGGCAAATAATTCGATCGTCAATATATCGCGTAATGCATCGTGCCAGCTGGATATATCGCACAATGGTAAATAATCTAATTCGAATTGCTAGCTAGCTATATCCGCCGGTATATTGAATTAGCTAGCTAAATCGCCCGATAGTCGATATTTTTTTTCCTGCTTGGGTTTTTCTGTAGGTCTCTGGTAGTAGTAGCTACTGCGATCAGTGAAAAAGATTGAGAAGAATACCTACGTTTCTACAAAAAACGTTATCACGCTTGGTAGCATTGGCATGCAATCATCCCGTGTAGAAAAAAAAAGACAAAAAACTCATTTTATAGTTAGAATTTGCCATGTCTTTTCTTAAAAAATGAATGCTCTAAGTGCCCTCTGATTCAGTCTCATTTTCGAGAGAATATCAGTGCTTTCAGATTTTGAAAAAAAATTAACAATTCATTTTGCAACCTACTAAAATATGTTTAGAAAACAACGTCATATTTGTTCTAAATCAAGAATATTTCTTATTCACCAATAATTTCTTTATTGTTTTGATTATTAACAGGTATAAAAATGAATAATATTATTTGCAGTCAAGTATGTAAAAGGCCTTCTCTCTGTTCAGAAATAGATTCTTTCCGTATTGTTCTGTGACATTAAATTAAGTTCAATTTCATTTTCCTACTTCTTCTTTAAATGTTTTCCGATACATTAGTAATTTATCTATTAAAATCTTCTCAGTTTTTTGACTATATGTGTACACAAAATAGACGCAACTGCTAAAGTAATAATAAAAGAGTTTCGTTATAAAAACTGTCGAAAAACACAAAAACAATTTTGTACGAATAGAGATTCGAACACATGAGCTCAGCTTTATAGTAAACCGCAAAACTAAATCTACTATTCTGTGTCTTTATTCTGTACAACGATTGAACTTCTGCAATCGACTCGATGTTAACAGTAGTAATTTATTTTGGTACATTTTTTCTCTTCTGCTTTGATATCAACTTCATTCTTTCAGAATTCAAGCGGAACTATATGCCATTATAGTATTCGAAGTTAAAACTGTCAAAAAACACAAAATCGAAGTACTTGGTTTTTCTGTGTGTGCCATTTCTTTGTGAGTAATTATCGGTCCCGCGATGTCATCTGAGTAAAATATTAAACTATTTTTAATCTGTTTTTTGTTGTTTACCTCCTTTGTTTTCAACAGATTTGAGGTTTTTCTATATTATTTTCACACATTTAACAGATTCGTTTTACAACGAAGCACTGTGAGTATTATTTTACCAATAGCGTCCATTTTTGTGTCCACACATAGTCAAAAACTGAAACCCTTTTAATAGCTAAATTATTCATCCATCAGAAAATATTTAAAAAGAACATAAATAGAACGAATACAAACATTTGAAGTGTCCGCTAAATGTCTGAAAATAATACAGTAAAGAAAAGCAATTGTTTTTCTAAAAACAAGCAAACACTAACTTAAAACTTGAATTGAAATCTTTTATTTTATGAAGCATGAACAGACAAACATCTTTTTCATGAATCATACATATATTTAAGCAAGAAAAGCAATTCCTTTTCTTTTTTCCTACTATTGTCACACATGTAGTCGACACTTTTTAAATGTTTTTGTTCGTTCTATTTATATCCTTTTTAAAATGTTTTCGAATGGATGAATAATTTAGTTATTAAAAGCCGTTCAGTTTTGACATATTCGTTTTTTTGTGTTCTATTTTGATATAAGCTTTATTCTTTCAGAATACAAGCGGAAAAATATTCCATTCTAGTATTCGAAACTAAAACTATCGTAAAACATAATATCAAAGTACTTTGTTTTTCTCCGTGTTCCATTTCTTTATGATAATGATTGCTCCTGTGATGTCATTTGAGTAAAATATTAAAAATGTTTCACTTATGTTTTGGTAAGCTCATTGTGTATCCATTAGATACAT